GTTGTTTTAAGCCTCCAAGTTTGTGGTAATTTGTTACAGCAGCAATAGGAAACCGATAATGAAAAGTCAGCTGGAGAGATGGTAGCAGGGGGACCAAGGGAGAAGTTCCTTGTACGCCATTTCAAGGAGTTTGAACTTTATTTTGAGGGTAACAGGAGGCTGTGAAAGGATTGTCCTTTTCTTTCAGAAAGAGTGCTCTGGCTAGAGCAGAGGGGCTGGGGGAGGGAGCGGAGGGGACAGGAACTCATGAAACTGCTATTGTGGATTCCACCTTATGCAGCCCAGAGCAGTCCTTTCTCTCTCTGGTGGATGATCCAGGACCCTGACGTCTGCACAGTTTGCAAATGTTGAATCTTGCATAATAAACCTTGAATCCAGAAAAGAGAAACCAATAGACCCAAAGAATGGAAGGGCATGGAGCTAGCGCAGCCTGAGTCCAGGATGAAGTTTTTCTCACCTTGATTTTCCACGTCCTTCATCGGGTCCACTCCTGGAGACAGGATAAAAAACATGGGAGTGGCTGGTCCTGATTCTTCAAATGAGGTTGCAAAATCTAACGCTCTTCCCACCACATACTTGCTTCCTAACTTCTCCTCAACAAAATCTCTGCCAGGAAAAAAAAAAGTACATTAATATATTTATATGTGTATATCAGTCACAAAATAATAACGTTTGAGAAATGGAAGCCTGAAGAAACAAAAGCATGTGCTCAAGGTCATGGGCTCCAAGATCACTACTTATGTCAGCACTGACAGCCTATGCTGCTAGATGCCAGGCTGCTCGCCCAGATTGGGGCTCCTTCTGCACCCCCATCGGCCCAGGCCATCGCTGACTCCTTCTGCAGAGTCTGGTGTCCTCTCACATCAGCCTCACCCACCAACAGACTGTTAGCACCAGTGCCTTCTGAAAGCTCGTAGGCAGTTAGTCCTCCTGCTCCATGTCCCTGCTAGCTGCCATGCCTACGTAGGACTTATGGCCCTACAGGACTCTATTCTCTCCTGCTCTGTCATTCTCTATTTCCTTTCATCTCACCCCACTCACTGGTGTTCCCTTCCAAAGTGGCCCATTTTATGCTAAACAAATCCTCACAGCTGCAACCACTTACTGAATATGCAACCCAACTCCCTGGCTTCACAAGACTTCCACTCTCCCCCAAGGACACTATTTTCCCTGCAGCCTTCTCAGTGGGACTCACTCACCCCTGACAGACCTCAGCACTGGCAGGTAGGACCAGCATCCTGCTTACCGCCCGCTGCCATCTCCAAAACACAACCTCCCCAGTCTTGTGGCTTGTTGAGGTTCCTTTCCCCTGGCTCTACCACCACCCCTGCTCATCAGTGTCACCTCCTGTCCCTTTTATGTCTCTCCTCATTCACTGAACACTTGGGCACGTGGCTCATGGATTTTCTGTCCTCCAGCCTGGGTGACATCCCCATCCATGTGGACAATCCTCTAGATTCTTAGTGACCTCAATTCAAGTGATGTCCATTCCTTGCCCCTTCAGCCACCTAATTCCATGGCCACACACTCATCCTTGTCATTACTTGGGAACTTCTATGTCTGAAAACATAAATAGAAACATCCCACCCTTTGACCAAAATCTTCTATCCTTATAGCACTTTTAGCAATTTAGCCTGGCTTCACCTATTCTTTGCCAGTACTGGTGCCACTGTAAATGCAAGAATTTCAGTATCTTGGCCTCTCTGGCATTTTTCTATCACCTCTTTACTCTCTTCACTTCTTTCCTATGCAGTGTAGACTCCATAACTCCTTTAAAAAAAAACAAAAAAACTTCATTGAGGTATAATCAACATGACATGATATTTACCCACGTTAAGTGCACTATTCAATGATTTTTTAATAAATTCACCAAGTTGTAAATAATCCAGTTTTAGAGCATTTTCATCACACCTATAAGATTCCTTATGCCTATTTAGTTCACTCCTATTCGCACCTCCCAGCCCCCCTCCATAACTCCTTTAAAAAAAAACAAAAAAACTTCATTGAGGTATAATCAACATGACATGAAATTTACCCACGTTAAGTGCACTATTCAATGATTTTTTAATAAATTCACCAAGTTGTAAATAATCCAGTTTTAGAGCATTTTCATCACACCGATAAGATTCCTTATGCCTATTTAGTTCACTCCTATTCGCACCTCCCAGCCCCAGGCAACCACTGCTCTGCTTTCTGCCTCTGTATATTACACGGCCAATGACCTTTTATTTTTCTCTTGCCAACATCCTCATTGCTCTTGTCTTACTCATATTCCAATACACCAACTTGAAATGACCCAAGCTCTGAAAAATCAACTTAACTCTGACTCTGTATCCGGGCTTCTGGAGAAAAACCATCCAGTGGTAGAGATTGGGGCCACCACAAACGCAGGACAATAACTAGGTGGGCCCTCAGTGACACTTGGAATTCCTTGAGTTTCCCTGGGCAGCCTTCTCTCCAATTTTTTGCACAAACTCAATGGACGATCTTGTTTCCCACTTCTCAGAGAAATTAGCCAGCACACAAAATCCTTCTCAATTGTCTACCTTTCACCTATACTACCTTAGCTACAGCCACATCTCTCTTTCCTTTGTTTGGGGTAAAAGAGATGTTCTTTCTGCTAAACGTGATCCCCTCATCCCTCAATCCCATCATCTCCCACCATGTCAGATGTGCTCAGCACCCTTTTCAAAGCTGATATTGATTAGCACCTCTTTCCAAATTGTCTACTAAGTTATTAAGAAAATACACGGCTCACACAGAGTAACAGCCCTCATAGGACTTGGGATGTCGGTACGAAGACTCCTGTTTCTATGCACACATGGCCTTGGAGCCCAGCCTGCTAGTCTGTTCATCCTGAGATCGTCCTTGCCCCATACCTGGGCAGGACCTCCACAACCCCCCGTTCCCTACCGCATGGCGTAGGTCATCCGGTCCGGCCGCACGGCCCTCATCATGCAGAGGCGCTGCAAGGCTGTCTTGTTCCTCCACACCTGGGGGAACTTCTCCTTTTCAGGACATTCTGACTCCACAAACTTCTTCCAGCTCTTGGCAGATCCCTCAATGTCCCGATCCAGATTACAGAATTCTTCCATGGATGAAAGTGCCTGGGAAATTTCAGAGAATCTTGCTCTGAAACACAGTTTCTCCAGAAAGCTGTCATTTGCATTGTATTGGGGGTCATGGGGCAAAAGGGTATTATATACACAATTCTGTCTCATTTATTTTCTTCTCTGAAATCTTGGATCTTGCCCCAGGAAAAATCAAGGCAAAGGAAGGATTTCGATCAGCATATCCTCAGCAAACTGCCCTAATAATGTGCAAGGCTTAGCAAATAAAATGTGTGGAATATTATTAGCAGCAGAGCCTGCGCTACACCTGCCTGCAGGATATTGGAAAAGAGGAATACCAAGGAGTGTCAGGATTATTCTGGTCACGGAGCCTGGATACCTGAAGTCACTGACCTCTTTCATCCCTACACTCTGCCACCAAATTCTGTCAATTCGTCTTTCAAAATGTCTCTAGACTTATTGACTCAATTCCTTGTTCACTCTACTTCCACCATGTGTAGGTTCCTGTTCTCGTCTCCACCACATTCCACTCCTTCCTTTTCCTGCGCTGGTCTTGATTATTATTGGTTAGGGTTCTACACTTTGTCGAAGTCCAGTTTGAAATCAGCAGCTTCCCTCAGGCACATCCTCTCCAACCTAGAGCACATCGTCCTCCCTGCCTTTTGCGGACCATTTAGAGCTACTCACAGAGTTGGCATGTTTAATAAAGAGTCTGACTCAATGTTTAGATGTTTGAGTGTTGATAGCTTTTAATCCTCATGCCTCCCTCTTCCACGTCTGCCCCACATCTGGGCAAGCTGATAAGTGAGCCTGGGCCCTCCCTCCTTTGGTGCTGGAGGGAAGTTTTACCATGCAAGTGCTTCCCACTCGCAGGCACCCTCACCCTGCCTGCACCCCCTAACTACACCCTTAAGGCAGTCTCCTTTCTTGGCTCTCTCAGGCCATTTTCACACTGCTTGGGAGCTCCCCTACTCACTCCAGAAAGCCTCATTATCTGAGTAACAAACTATTTCATATCCCCTTGGTATGTGTGTGGTATCATCAGTCTTAACATTGGAACCAAATTTTGAGTGTGTGTCTCCTATTTTTTCAAAGTCCCACATCAACATGACTCATGTAGACAATTACCTGCAGCCCTTCCATCCTTGCTCCACTCTGCCTGTATGTTTGGTTTCTCCAGTGAGATTAAAAGCTAGACCACATGTCCAAAGCATCTACCACAGGACCATGGATTTTAAGGTACCAAATACTTTGTTGTTATTTGAATTCACCCATTCATCCATCCATTCTTTCTACATCTATTGAATGCCTACTACTTGCCACGTACTTGGGAATAGAATGGTGAACCAAAAAAAAAAAAAAAAAGACACACCTTCAAGGAGTTTACAGTCCCACATTAAGGAGAAAGGAGATGAGTTAGGCTTTGCCACGTATGTAGAATTCTGCTGGGCAGAGATAGAGGTAGAGAGAAGGGAAGGATCAAAAAAAGCCAAATCCTGGAGCAGGGAGAGTGTGGGCATGATAGAAAACAGTGTGCTTGCAGTAGACAGGGAGAAAGTCCCACTGGAGAGGGACTTTACACGTGACCTGGGCTTGCCTAGGCTCTTCTCCACGGGTATGAACACATGTCCTGGCTTTACATACAGGCTCTCTGGCTTCCCAACTTCACACCAACCACTTAGAGCCAGGAATGCAGCTTTATTCATGCTGATAAGTGGCGTGGGGTCAGGTGCAGGATGGCAGAGGAGGCACCGGGAGATGAGAGTTCTGGCCCCAGCACCATCACCTATGAGCTGCTGGACTTTGAGCCTATTGTGAAACCTTTGTGGGCCTTGGGATTTTTCATTTGGAAAATAGGGCAAAGTAACCGCTGACTGCCATATCTCATACTCTAATGTAGATATAAGTGTCTTATTGTAAAGCCCTCCCTGCTTCTTCTGGGAGCTCCCATAGCTATTGAATTGCAACCGCTGGTTTACTTGTCTGTTACTCCCACAAGATTGTGAGTTCCCTGCGGGCAAGAACTTTCTTAGGCGTCTTTGTCTGCCTTAGGCCTAGCAGGCTGCCTGGCACTTAGGAAGTGCTCAATTAATAAAGTTTGTCATCTGGGAGGCCAGCAGGAGGGCTCCTGACAGGCTGAAAGAAGCCGCAGCTGCTGCTGTAATTATTTCTCTCTGTGCCGAGGAACTGACTTTCATCTTCCAGGCAGGCTCGCACCTCCTCTTCCCTGCGAGCTTTACCATTAACCCTTCTGCGGCCCTATTGCCCCCTCTGGCATCTCTACAAAATGGAGCAAATTACACTGTGGTTGGTGCTTCCAGCTGCCAGGACTGGGTCTGAAACACACTTTCTTGAAGCTCCGGATTGAACACAATTGCAACATTTAATCTTCCAAATGAGGGAAAGGGATTTCTAGCCCTCTAATAAGCTAAATGGAAATGACTAATTAACCTAATTACTTTGGACTGTGTAGCAAAATACGACTGTGCTAAATTGGCAATCAGAGTGGTAGTAAGGGGCTTTTTCAAAGGCCAACAAAGGCGTTCATCGCAGATGAGATTTTCTAATGAAGAACGGAACATGCCCATTACCTTAAAGTTCAGTTCTGATGGGACTTAAAAAATCCTTACAGAGGGCAATAATAAAAGCTGTACTTTATCACAAAGATTTCATTCATTAACTGCTTATTCTTCTGGGGAAACAAGGCAATCAACCTTCCTCATTAGATGGAATGCCTTAAAGTTTTTTTTTCTTTATCATGTCCTATTCAATTATAGTTATTTTGTTTCTTTAGGCTAAAATCCAGCTGAGCACTTGAAAAGAGTGCTCCTCAAAGGCTTCCACCATGTGCGCCATGCATTGCATTGTGTCTCACCTGTTCACATCCTGCACTGTGCCTGAATTTGTTGGGTCTGGTCTTTGCTTCTCCACATAACAAACTCATATAGAGAGATAAAGCTTCGCTCATTTGCAGAAGCCTTTGAACAGCCAGATGAGCTTAGCCCACAAAACAAAACACAAAAGCAAAGCGAACCAAACAATCGATTTTGTGAAAAGAGGGTTGGAAATAAACTGCACAGCAGCTCTCGAGTTGAGCTATGTAACACAAAGCATCGACGAGTGCTGGTGAATCATTTATTCTCTGTGACTTGCTGCAGAGAGCTTTGTGGGTAATATAGAGAAAGGCAACGGGACTTGATCCAACTGGGCAACTCACAGCTCCTGAAGGTTTTCCTTCTGTGGGCAAATTCTACCAGGCACAACTCATATGAAGCACAGCATATATACACTCTATAACTGGATAATTAATAATCATAACTGTTATGGGGTGAATTGTGTTCCCCAAAAGATATATTGATGAACTAACTTCCCGGACTTGCAAATGTGACCTTATTTGGAAATAGGGTCTTTGCAAATATAATCAAATTACGATGAAGTCACTAGGTGGTCCCTAATGCAATATGAACGTTACCCTGATAAGAGGAGACGAGCCCTAGAGACACACAGTGTGAAAACTGTGACGGCGGAGACAGAGATCGGAGTGATGGTGTCACAAACCAAGGAATGCCAGCGGGTACCAGAAGCTGGGAGAGGCAAAGCAGCACCCTCCCCTAGAAGCTTCGGAGGGGGCATGGTCCTGCCAATGCCTTAATTTCAGACTCCTAGCCTCCACAACTGTGATGAAATAAATTCCTGTTGTTTTAAGCCACTCAGCTTGTGGTACTTTGTAAGCCACTCAGCTTGTGGTACTTTGTTACGGCAGCTTGAGGAAGGAAATGCAACAGCCACAGCCAGAATCAGCTTCCACATACGGAACATTTACTCTGTGTCTACACAACCCTGTGAGGAGGGTATCACGATAGCCATTTTGCAGAAAAGGAAACAAAGGCCCAGGGGAAAAAGATGACATGCCAGAAGCCACACACACATAAACTGGAACTTGAACCTGGGAACGTCTGACTCCACAGCCCATGTTAACTAGTGCATCTCTGTCATTGCTCTAGTTCTGCAAGGTGTTCATCCAGAACTGTTTTCCACAACTCATTTTCCATAAGGGCATCAGACTATGAGTCATTATTCTCAAGATCTGGGGTCGTACTGTCCAACGAGGTAGTCACTGGCCATGAGTTAGCCCTCCAAGTGTGGCTAGTGGGATTGAGGGGCTGAATTTTTAAATTGTATTTAATTTTAATTGTTTTAAAATTTAAGTGTAGAAACTAGAACGTGTTATAGTAATTGGAAAACTTTAAAAGATGTTTGGAACAAGTTGGGTATATGAATCAACTATTTCAACTCTAAATCTTATGAAATCTAAATACAAATATTTCTGGTGCAAATTTAGCATCTGAATTGAGATGAGCTATAAGTATAAAAAATACACACCAGATTTCAAAGACTTAGTGCAAAAATATAAAATACCTCATTAATACTTTTATGGCAACTGCGAATAGAAATGATAATATTTTTACTGTATTGGGTTAAAGAAAGTATCTTAAGACTAATTTCAGGGGCCAGCCTGGTGGCGCACTGGATAGTGTGCCGCTTGGGAAGTGTGGCGGCGCTCCCGCCCGAGGGTTTGGATCCCACATACAGACCTGTTCCCGCTCACTGGCTGAGCGAGGCGTGGGAGCAACACCGAGGGTTGCGATCCCGTTGCCGGTCCCCGGTCCGGTACGGGGGCAACATTGAGGGTTGCGATCCGTTG